TTCAGACAGGGACATTTGAGTAGGCACTTGACGCTGTAAGCTAAGATTCATTGAACAACAGGCCAAGATGAAATCAAGTAAAGCGTAGCAAGACGTTTTCGGTTTTTCGGTCCCCACGGTCGTGCTATGCATTGACCATTATGATTCAACAGACTCAGATATATCTGCTTCACTGGGGTTAAAACTATCAACGTTGTAAAAATAAAATGCGCACAGTAGATAATTACGGCTGTCGGGCCTTGCCATTGTACCCTGCGCTTGACTCTCATTGGCACCATTAAATTTCTGCCAGAGAGCTCCAGCGTCTGACCACTTTCGCCTTTCGTCTGCCTTTCGCTGAACTTGCGTGTAGTACCTCCAGTTACGTCCGAATGAACCAAAAAAAAACAAAACAAAACAAACAACAAAGACAAACAAAACAGTGTGCGAGGCTCAGCTGTGTCGTTCGTCCATACCCACGCACTTGCGCGGGCGTCTGACATTGTGCAGATGCACAGCCACGGATGCATCGCACCGCATCACATGCGTGCATGCCCTATGAATCTGAGGTGCCTCACAAGTACGCCAAAGCTCGCGCAAGGCACGACTTCTGCGGATTTGCATGCTGGCAGCCGGTAGTGCCTATTCGGATATGATATTGCATAGGGATCAGTCCACACCAAATAGCGAAAAAGGAGGCAGTATTACTTCCGATTTTGGTCAGCTTGGTGGCCGTCTGTATCCCCAGGTAGTCAGGTGAGCACTAGGAGTCATTGGATAGCCGCTCTTTTTCAATAATCCACCAGTTTCGTATCTCCGCGAAGTTAGGTACTTAAGATAAGCAGCTTAGGCAAATAGTGTAAAAATGGTGCCAGATTCGTCAAATTTAGCATCGTTTTACACATGATTTTTCAGCCCCGTGTCATTTATTCTACATGCGACACATCATACACACATTCGACAAATACAAATGCACATATGCAAACGTTACCAATGGGTGCACTAGTAATCGAGTTGATAAGGAATCACCGCAATTCAATAACCCGTTCGTTTTACATCCCTTTACAACCCTTACAATAAGCCTGAACAGCCATCTCAGACATCACGTTGTCGTCTCAGGTTTCCATTTCCCTTCATAATGTGTCAAGGTAAGATTAAATGTTACGATTAACCTCTGTCCTTTTTACACTATTTATTTTATATTATATATATATATATATATATATATATATATATATATATTATACACCACTGATGCACTATTTCCACTTGTCTCTCCTTTCCAAGCAAAAAGACAGCACGAACAAAGATCACCAAAGACACGAGCCTCTAATTGTGCATTTGATTATGAATGAAAGCTCTCTGATTGTGTATTTGGCACATACAACCACATGATTTACCAATTCATTCTTAGCTGTTCCCAACATCACTGCCTACGCCTTGAATTCGGTTGTGCCCCTGATAATATTGTTTTCTAATAACCACGTTCCTATTCCTTGACAAAAACGTTCAGCTGCTGGGCAGTCCCAAAATGCATGCTCGGTGGTCCGCCTAACGTTATTGCAATGCACGCAATCACCGCCTTCTGCGCTGTCCATGTGCCACAAAAAAGAACTGCTAGCGACATAGATGCCTGTTATCTTATAACGTAGCGTCCTGTCCGATGAAATGTATGTGGCTTCAAAAATATGCCGGCAAGCGCCATGCAAGCAAACATCTTCGCCATATGTTCGTCTGCATTTGAATTCCGATTCTCTGCGCATATCCCTGAAATTTGCCACTAGCAAGCACGATGTATACATATTCTACCCTTTTGGAGCGTAAAAAATGAGCGAAATCTCTGGATGAATACTAGGTGTTGGAAGCTTCTCCCCCCCCCCCCCCCCCCCCCCAGAATGAAGACATGCACCCGGCAAGCTATTCTTAAGGCTCAATGATCCAACAATATGCCGTTTTTACCACATGCAGTTTTACCATACCATCTGGCTCGAGGCCTAATGATCATTCCTTCCATAACTGACTTGTGTAGGACATAACTGCCCTGGGACATTGGAGACGTCTTCACGCTTCTTCTCCCGCCCCCGAGGACACACGCATTCACGGGAAAAATCCTTATCTTACTCATCTGTAGTGAACACCCAGCCGTGTGACGTCATCAGGATTCCTGAATTGCTAGCAACACTCGCGACTGCCAAGGCACGTCAAAGACTCATGCTTCCACCTAAACACCATGCACTCCATTAACCACCAATGCGGCTACATGAATTGAACATAGTGAGTGACGTCAGGTAGTGTCAGAACATAGTGAGCGACGTCAGGTAGTGTCAGAACATAGTTGAGCGACATCAGGTAGTGTCAGATCATAGTGAGCGACATCAGGTAGCGCCAGATCGCCAGTTGGGGCGGCGGCTCCCGCTCCCACGCAAGACCACACGCATTCGCCCTGGCTCCCGCAGCACCCCCGCAGATGGCGCAAGCAGCGCGAGGCGGCGCATCTGCGTGGACTCGAGCATTTTCTGCATTTTGTCCACGGCATCTCTGATAGTGGGCTGATGCAGCTCGCGACTGGCACAGTCGACAACATCATTGGGCTTGCCGAGCCGTCAGTCGCCATCGGGTTGCAGCGCTCTCAGTCCCATTCGCCTTGAGCACGAAACAAATTCCACGCTGCATGTGACTAAGGTCACTGTGATTACTGCACGCTCCACCAACGTAGTCCGGGTGGGGGGGTCAGGAGGGAGCCAGTGGAGTCTTAAGCACGCATTTCCGTCACTACTTTTTGAACCACAGACACTCGCCGGTGGAGCGACCTCGAGCCCGTCCCGACCCCGAACGGGACCCCTGGCGGACTTCATTTGACATGAGCGTGTTCTGTTTTAACTTATAGACGTTTTATTGGATGGGATTGTTCTGCCATTCGAATTGGCTAAGTGAAATGTAAAACGATTTAGTCAAAGTCATTTTGTGACTACGCTTTTACAAGACTACGCTTTTTCACATCTACTTAACTTTCCGAATACATTTTGTGAGTGACTTGTGGAGACCCTGAACGGTAAAATTTCCTTCACTCGATCCATCGCTGCTAATGGGGACCAAAATCGGGGTATGGAAAGTCGGTACCATATGCAGCGGTGCAGTTTCGCAAATTAATCATATGGGGGGAAGGGGGGGGGCTGAGCGGGGAAAATAGGTAGACCTACACTCAAAGTAGCAAAAAAAACGAGTTTCTTCTCCTCCCCGAATTCTGCTCACTTTCTTTTCAAAGATGGGGTAGAGCGGAGCCCATCCAACTGAATAAGAAACTACAGCCTTTGGATATCTAGTGTTTGGTTTGCTTTTATTTAGCTCTCGCTTATGGGTGCTGCACGACCATTTTGCCGTCGACGAGCCTAAAGCTGCAAATAATGCTTCAGTATGCTACAGCATTTTGTGGAGCCCACTAGTACCATGAGCAAAACGTTGGATGAGGCAGAAACAGCAACCGCGGAAGAATACACCGGCATGAGGCTGCCCAAGGCAAGCCCAACTTGAGAACATGAAATGCAGGACTTAAATGCCATCCTGCTTGTACCTGGTACCCCCATTTTAGAAAAGTTCACTCACCTGTCATAGTAGCTGATCCCTTGTAACGTTTCTTTCGAAAAACGTAACGCCCCATGTATTCAACGCGATGCATGCTAACTCATATCTAAACATCGTGCAGGATGCGCAAAATCACAAACATCCGCCGTCGCTCGTAAACCTACTGTTCCAACGAGCGGCGAACATCATCTTCCAAAAACCGCCGCTAGATGTCTCTGCGTGCCGCGCCGCACCACCTGTGGACGCGACCCGAAATAAAACAGTGCGGCTTCGGGGCTCGGCTCACCGCGGGCGTGGCCGTCGGATGGAGAGTGCGTGTCGCAGCCCACTGCCCGCGCGATGCGATGACGATGGAGTGGCCGGAGGCGGCAGCCGTCGGTGACGAGGGCCCTCAAGTGGTGACCGCCAGCGTGGAGCGCGCGCTTCTGCCCATCGTCAGCAGGTGAGCGACGGTCGCCCGCCGCCACCGAGGTCGGCGCTGGCTGCGACACGAGCCCGCCGTGTTTTGGCGCGCGCGGCTGGACCATTGTCACGGAGCTGTCGTGTTCCGACTTGGCGACGGGCGCAGCTCATTCGCTGAGCCGCTGCGTCTGACGCTGTTCGTCGGCATAGCGCGGGGCGTACGCGACGCTGTGTCCCCGCCGCGGGAGGCGCCCCTGTCTCTATTGTCGGCGCCGTGCGGTCCCTCGCTCGGCGTGTTCCGCACGACTTCGAGAGCTTGGGGCGACACGGAATACTCCTGCGCCCACCGGCGGTCGATCTCTGAGACCCGCCGTCGCCGGGCGGGAAAAGGGTCAAGGTCAGAGCATGTGCCGGTCCCTGAACAGTCGACACGGCCGGTCTGGCATTGCGGGGTTGTTGTGTTGCCGTGAGGTTTACTTGGCGGCTATGGCACAGCTAGGTGCAGGCGATTCCAAAGCTGAAGTGGAGAACTTTCCGGCGCTGGTGAATGGGTAGATTTTTCGAAGCCATGTGCCACCAACAGTAAACAAAACTTTGCTGATGGCACACATCCACACGAGGCCGTACTTGCAATATGTTGCAATACATCGCTCGTTTTCCAGTTCGATCTCAAATATTATAAATGCGTCCCCACAACTGATGGAGCGAACGCTTCCACAGCAAATGACGCACTGTCGCGTCCAGCCGCAGCCGTCCGCTGCCGCTGCCCCCCTGCTCAGCTGCTCACCTCGTGCGAGCGGAACTGACTGCCCCGAGCCAGGACAACCGGCCGGCCGCGACCGAACGCCCCAGCCGGGAAACACGGCTGCTAAATCCGGAACAGCACGCTCGCTCGCACAGCGGGCGCCTGTTTGGGCGGACAGGGAGGGCCAAAGAGGCATGCGGCTGGCATGGCCGAGAGGTCCCGGCTTAAGGCGCGTGTGGATCGAGTCCTGCTGAGACGCAGGCTGGGTCTGTTGCTTTGAACTTCCCCAACGGGAGTGGCGTGTTTACGGTCGTTGCTAGGTTACGAGCGTGTTGTAGCGAGTAAATGGATGGATAGGACTAGGCTGTGGTTGATTTTGTATCACCATTAAGGTAGCGTTTGGCGTTTGAAGATATCAAAGCGCCAGATATGATGACAAAAGTTTACTAATAACTATTGGTACGCTTTTTAAGCGGAGAAGATTGCTCTAGACAGCACGATTCTCTGTTTAGTAAATATGCTCCCCGATGCATCATGGTTTGTTTACGTCATCGTGCCAGTTTGATTGACGGAATGACGGCAGATAAACTTGGAAATCGCGCTCACGAACGCCAGATATGAACTCCTCAACAATAATATTTTTCTTGGTTTTGATTGCCACTTGGTTAATGGAATGACAGAATTTGAATGACCTTATTATCATATCATGAATGCCAAGGCGACTTTGCAATGCTCTCCCCGATATGCCTTTAACCATTTTCGCAGGCGTATAGCCCAGAAAATAGAGGGGCTTCGGTCTCAAGAAAGGCGTGTTGTAAACAGCACCAAAAGGTCTTCAGGATGGCTATTTCATTTCAAAGCCCTATATCACTGTGAAACATTCCATTTAAATATGCTTTTCGGATGTCGGTATGGCTAACATGAGTCCATATGAGTCAGTCTTACTGTTATAATCATGCTCCGATCTTAAATGATATAGATATAATTGCCCCCGCTTTCAATTAGTCACTGAACGGAAACACCCCATCACAACTTTTCCCGTGTTGAGGGAAGAAGGAAACGATGTTTCACACAACGTTGACCAAAAAATACCTTAGCCGACACCATGACGGCAATATACAAGCTTCATTCGTTATCACCTGGTGTTTGGCCCCTTTGGTACTGAAAGGTTAGTGTGAATTGATGTAATAAGTGGGGCAACAGAAAAATGTAAACCATCAAAATTGTCACGACATGAATCGGGGAGTTTTTTTGTGGTTCCAATGTGGGCAGATGCGGTGTTACACCATGAAAATGCGGTATATGTGATGAATATATATATATATATATATATATATATACATATATATATATAAATATATGGTATATACACATATATGGTGTATGTGTGACTGCGCGCGTGCTAGTGTGCATGTGTGTGACGGAGCATATGAAATGCGTATCATACTCGAAGCAGCTTTAATTAAATGCAGCTTCCATAGTGCGTAGGTAACAAAGCCCATGTAAAAGGTGCCCTTATTCAGAAAACAAAAGAAGAGGACTAAGTGAATGTAGGTGTAGCATGTATATATATATATATATATATATATATATATATATATATTATATATATTTGCATTTTAGAGGAAGATGCGTTAAAAATGTGATATTACAAAAGCATGAATAAGACGCCAAATTAAACTCGGTTACATTTATTTGACCGGTAAATGGGATAAATGCCACCACGAACCTTTCAATGTTTTTGCCGCTGTGCCGTCAGCGCCAGCTTATGACGGTGGCACGCTGCATCGCCGCCCACCGACCCCCGCCGCCGCGCTGGTCTGCCGCTCCTCCGCATCAGCACGGAGGCGGGCGGCGCCGCCGCTAAAGCACGGCACATACCGTGCCACCATTTGTCTGTCGCCTGCCAAAGCGGGCGGAGCGGGGGCCGTGCCAGCGCGGCCGGCCGTGCCCCGGCGCTGGCTAACTTGACGAGAGCGGCCCGCCCGCCCCGGAGACACGCCTCATCACGCCCGGCCGACCACGTGCGCGGCGGAGCTGGGGCGGAGCGGATCCAGGACGAGAGCGTGCGGCGCACGGCGGCCGGCTGAAGGGCCGAACTGGTTTGGTTGTTCGTTATTTGGGTGAGAGCCCTTTCGGCGAGTCAGGAGCATTTCAGAACTTTGATGTGAGTGACAGTTGATGGCGGTGGGGCAGAACATCACGCAATTGGTAGCCCATCCGCAGAGACTTAGCCTGCACAGGGCCCCTTTGTGGGGGCTTGTGCTCGGGGCTCGGACAGAGGCCGCCATTAGGGGACGCTCGGGCCCACTCATGACTCATACGTGCAGCCTGCCCGGGATAAACGGCGCGTCGCGAGTCTGCAGGATAACGTAAGAATGAGGAAAAGAGGGCGGATATGCCAAGCTGTGTGACGCTTCGATGATGGTGGGTGCGGTATACTGCGGATGGTGCAGTATACTGCACCATCCGCAGGTTGTGTCAACGGGCCTGTATGCAAGCGATGTTTGTGGCGCGTCTTCTCACGTGAATTTGTTTTGGCGACTGACTGTAATGAGAATACGCATGCTGAGTTGACAGTGGGTCTGGCACCCTCAAATTTATGATTTGGAAGTCCAGAGCATGCATGTTTGCAAAATAGTTCGCTGAGTTGATATACATGCTAAGCATGAAACCTATTAAACATGCAAGTCTCCAGTTAAGAATTCGAGCATGCATGTATTTAGTGTGACCTTGACATGAATATAGTTAAGAACCTTACGAAAGCCACGTGCTTTTTTGTGAAGATCGTTGTCACTGCTATACATTTCTATCGTCCTTTTATCATTTAGTATCGGACCGATCAAAACAACGCGCACGTCTTCCTAGCTCCAATCCCAGTCATTTTTAGCCGCAAAATCAGCGCTGCTAACTGGGACTCGACACCACCGGTGAAGCGACCTCAAACATCATCGACTCATTATCGGGGATGTCGTGTCTCACATGACGTGACCTTCGACGTCAGGACGCGGCTCCTACCCCGGCGGGACTTGCTGACCGGCCGCCCGCCCCGCATTCGTCAGCCGTGTTTCTGATGCCTCCGGCGGTCTTACGCCGGTCATCAGGGGCATCGTCAGGCCGCTGTCTCGGGGTGCAGGACGTGGCAGGTGTAGGAAGTCGGCCGGGAGGTGTGGTGGTGACCGAGAGTGCGTAAGCGGTTAGTAAAGCGCTGTTGGTTTCCGCTCTGTGCGTCATGGTAAGTGCGAACAGGACAGAGTTACTCCTGACGTCTACTAGCGTTGCGCCTTCCCTGGATGATCTCACCCGGCTCCCGCCTCAATGCTGCGACATAAAAGCGAGCATTATCGACGTAAAACTGCTTGGTTTCAGCACATTGTGCCCGGGCCCGGGCCAGAACCGTCTGCTATGCCCCCTTCCCTGCCCCTGACACCGCCACTGGCCCGGGCGTCGGCGTCGTCGGCGTCGGCGTCGGCGTCGGCGGCGGGGGCGACTTGGCCGCCGGGGTCGCTTACTTGGCCGCCGGGGTCGCCTACTTGGCCGCCCGCTGAGCGTCTCTACGCCAGCTCGCTAGTCTCGCTCGCGGCTGATAAAATGTTGTAAGCTTTAAATCTATACAACACGACTTAAGTAGGCGTATTAGCGCTTGTTCATCATTCTGTAAGGCTCATTCCACACCGGTAATACACAATATCGTACCACATTTGCATCACTAATCGGTCCAGAACCACTGTTCGTCGCCTGCGCTCAGGCCACCCGGTGTCTGCTGACGCTGATCGGATGGACACTGGTCGTCCGCGCTCCGGCCGCCGGGCGTCTGCTGACGCTGATCGGATGGCACTGTGGTCGTCCGCGCTCAGGCCGCCAGGTGTCTGCTGACGCTG